ACAATCAAACTTGCTTGCAAACCTTCCATCACAACAATCACGCCCCCTTCATAAACGACCAATCACATTCACTTTATTTACTCGTGTAAAGTCCTGCACCACTCGGGAGAATACGGAAATGCAACAGTTTGAAAAGCCGCTTCCCTACGACTTAAAAGAATCTCTTGCTTTCCGATTGTTATTCGAATAATCAAAAAAATAAGCTGTGGTCCTAGTTAGAATGACTCAGTCCAGACCTGAATTACCGATTGAATTGGCTGAATATCACTATATTTAGAAGAATTTCTCTCATTTTCCTTCCTCAACACGGTTAGGGACAACTTCCTGTTGGTCTGCCACATAAAATGCATTTAAATGTGTTTCTTTAAAACTTTACATGCTTTAAAACATTTGTAGGACAATAAAGAATGACTAATCTTGTCACATGTTCTAGGAGCTAACACCAGCAAGCATGTCGACATGCTAACCCACATCATGTCCTCTGTTTTGTTCTCTCTATCAGGTGAAGGCCTTGAAGGAGAAGATTGAGGCTGAGCGGGGAAAAGACAACTTCCCCGCTTCTAGGCAGAAGCTGATTTATGCTGGAAAAATCTTGCAAGATGACACGCCTATTAAAGACTACAAAATTGACGAGAAGAATTTTGTGATAGTGATGGTGTCCAAGGTCAGAGCGGGTTTAAATCTTATTATTTATTTACTGCATCAGAGGATGGCTGTGTTCAAATGTTTTCCTCTTTCTTCAATTCCTATCATTTGAAGAGAGGTTAGCCTGCGTTTGCTGAGGTATTTCAATGCCTGAGGATAAAAAAAAAACTGCTGTTTGAACAGTCTGTAAAAGTATGGAGCACACGTTCATTATTGTACAGGTCAGAATAAAGTAAAACTAAAATAGTAAATTTGAAGAAAAAAATAGGTCAGAATGTGTGTAGATAAAAGATAAAAAATGTAAATAATAGTCTATTGCAGTAATTATCACCAAGGATCTGTGTTTGATTAAAAATCTTCAATCTGTTTATTTTGCTCACCAGTATTTTCATTTTAGTTTACAGATTGGATTTTTTGTATTATCGCCATTTGGGCTCAGTAAAACTCTAAACTCACCTCCGTTTCTTAGATAAAGTCTAAAATCTAGCTGCAAATATTGAGCACATTCTGCTTTAAATGTTCTTAGAGTTTACATTCCTCTCTTGACGAGTTAAAACATTCGAGGTTTAAAAACCTGCCTTATCTAAGCTTTTCTAGATTCCTCTAAACTAGTGAAACTACCTCATACCATCCTCTGGCGCTTATGTGGGGAATGTGCAAGAAAGACTCGACTAATATTCAAACTAGTGTTGCTCCAATGCCATTTTTTAGCCCCAATACTGATACCAGCTGTTTGAAATTTGATGTGTGTGTGTATATATGAAGAACTGCATAATAATTGGATGTAAAATAATTGCCATCATGGCTTTGTTAAGCTGCTGCCTGCCTTTGTGAAGCAGGAAAAAGACGAATACAAAGTGAATCCAGTAGAACTTTTTATTGCCTACCTGGAATGGGTGACAATAGTTGAATAAACTTTTGGCTGTCAAAATGGTATCGGTGCCCTATTTGTTGGTACTCGCCGATACTGATACCATTTCAATTCAGTTTACTTATAAAGCACAAATTCACAACACGTCATCTCAATGCACTTTACAGTTCACTAGATCATCCAGTCAAATAGATTAAACGTTTTCTATGTAAGGAAAACCAGTTGATTGCATCGACTCATTGACTCTAATACAATCCCTCACACTAAACATACTTGTAGGGACAGTGGAGAGGAAAAACTCCCTTTAACAGCAGAACCAGGCTCAGTGTGAGCGGCCATCTGCCGAGGCTGACTGGGGTTCAAGGAGACAGAAGCAGAGATACAAAAAGCAGCTGTAAAATGCGGCCTTGTCAAGGACAGCCAGGCAGACGAGCTCCGAGCCAGCTCCCATGTCAGAGGATGAAGAGAACACATCCAGTTAGTCACAGTTAGAGAAA